CGGGTAAGGCTAATTCTCGAAACCTGTACAGAACCGGTACCCGAATGTATAAGATAGTATTTTTAACTCGCGCGAGACCGAAGAAAGGCGAAAGGAAAAGAAAGATTTAAAAGTTTCTGAATGTTCATGTTCAGTGATGCTCAAAAGATACATAATTTGATTAAATCTCAAATATTAAAAATATATTAATATAAAAAATAAATATATAAATGTAGAGAGAAAAATAACATAAAATAAAGATGGTTTCGAAGAGGGCATACATATAGATATTAATTTAAGCTATTAATATTGAATAGAAGCTTTTAATTTTTTAATAATAATAAATGTTTATAAGGAGATTAATAACATAAATTATATGTTTCAATATTTTCAGAGATTTCAATAATATAACAGTTCTAACTCTGTAACTATAACTCTCTCTCTCTCTCTCTCTCTCTCTTTTTCTCCCTCTCTCTCTCCCTCTCTCCCTCTCTCTCTCTCTCTCTCTCTATTTATATATGTGTAAATAAATTATGATAAAATAAAAATATTAAATATTTTTTAAATAGTAAAAACAAAAAAGATTTAAAATAAGCATGCATATCTGCAACATTTGAACATATAAATTGTCAAGTACATAATTTTGGTGATTTTAAATGAACATTGATATATCACAAAAATTTTACTTTCTAAATGTGCTAATAAGAAATAGCTTCAAATTGAAAGATGATTTTCTTTTTCGAATTGAGAATCCCTGTAACGCTTTGATGTTTCGGGGTTAAAGACCGGGTACAGCAGGTCTTACGTGTGCTCTGAGACTTCAATTTTCTCTCGTTGTTCGTCTCTCTTTTGCTACCTTTTTTCAACCTCTCCTCTTCATCGTCGATCTTTCTACGCTTTCTCCCTCTTTCTCTCGAAAACGTTTCTTTCTTTTTCTTGTATAACGTACTCGTAAAACGAAAGACAGTTTATAACGGAGCTGATGAATGGTCGAAAGAGTCCCTCAGTTTCTTTTTCCTTATTTCTTCTTTTTATTTACCTTTACTTGTCTCTTTGGAAAGTTCCCGTGGGATTACTCGATTTAAGGTGATCTCACAACGCGCACTTACATTTAAAACTAAATCTCGTTTACGAGTAAAGTTTATAAACTGTGAATTTCAAGAAATAATTAATATTAGAATATAAGATAAGCAATAAATATTTAAATATTATAAAAAATATAAAATACGAGCAATAAATATTTAAATACTATAAATATTATGAAAATATTGTCCATAAATTTGTAAAATTTTTAATTTTTTATAAAAATTTAAATAATACAATAACTTTTTATTTCTTTTTCATACAGAAATTAATGTAGAATTTTAATCAATCATGGCCGTATTTGTTAGTATCCTATAAATGCAGTTTTTGATACATTTCGTATTATACCGGAAACCTCTTCAGGAAATTCTACGGATTGTATGGGGACTGAGTTAAGTTCGAAGCAGAAATCCGAAGGGGGAAAAGAAAGAGAAGAGAAAGAAATTGATGTGTGTGTAGACGAATAATCTTTATGTAATGGTTACAATATAATGAGTAAATATGAATAATTAGCTTTAACTTAAACAATATTACAGATTACAGGTTTTGGAAGTTTATGATACTTCCACAAATAATTTAAAACTATATTTTCAAAAATTAATGCTATATATACTTGTTAAAAGAAATTTGTTTAAGGTTTTATACATTAATGTTCTCTTTCATAAATAACAAATCATAACAATAAGCTATATGCTAAGAAGAAATACAGATTTTTAAGAAAAATGTTCATTTTATAATTTATAATCACACATATTGTCAAACAGAAATAACGATACAAACGATCTGTTTCAAGATCCTGACCTATAAACACGTAGAAAAGTTTTCGTCTAGGCCCATGTTATCTATGGTAACATGATGAATGATAGATAATCAAATGGAAAAAGAAGCCTAAAATAATATCGAAAATCATGACGAGAAAAGGGCGCCTCGTTTCGCTTATGCGTACGCGCACGTGCATTATGGCCGATAGGCTAGTTTGTGTAAGTACGACGTGGAAGTCTATTTCGAACGTAGGAAAACGCGTTCTGTATCCAGACACGCGTGCTTTGATATCATCACGATATATGGAGAATAGCGTGCGAGCAAGAGAGGGAGAGAGAGAGAGAGAGAGAGTGTGTGTGTGTGTACAGTATCCCTTCATAAAGCTACGCATTAGAGGTGCCCAACCTTAAAAGCCCAAATACATAAGTGATAGAAGCACACATTTCTTCTAAATAAAATAGATAATTAAAAATATTTAATTATTATTATTATTAGTATTATTATAAGTTTAACAAAAATATATTATATTCAATAAATTCAACATATATTATTTATATACTTCAAGTGAGATATGTATATTTAAAAATATGTGTAAATAATATAGATAAATTGATAACAATATTTATATTGAACATGGCCGGAGACACTACCGCGTCTCCTGATGTTTATATATTATTTAATATAATTATTTATTCTAATCGTTATACCTTGTGACTTAGGATGGTGTATTATTTAATATCTATATATTATGTATAAATTGCTTTGCTTTGCTTTACTTTCACACACACACACACACACACACTTTCAATTCTTAAACAAAAAGTCTAATAAGACGACAATGCGTTGTCATTATATGAATGAATTGATATGTAATGAACGACTTATTTCGTTCTTATTGATCGCTGTAATAGTGGGCAAGTTCTCCGTAGGAAAAAAAAAAGAGAAATTCTAAGACGACGAGGACCGGTTAACATTCGCATTTTTCGCAACGACCCGCTAAGCAATTGAACCAAAGAACCGACTAAACGACTGTCGAGAGCACAGAGAAAGACTCGTACGTGCATTTTATCGCCCTCTCTCGAAGAGACCGGTTCTCTCCTTCACTTTCTTTTCCTTCGCCTTCATTGTCCCGATATAATATTCGAAGTTGAGCACCCCTGTAAATCGGATGCTCGAGCACATCTGGCCCATGGAAACGCGGGAGTTGAGAGTAAAGTATAAACTATGGGGTGCCACCCCATTTCACAGGGGCGGAGAACACCCCCAGTGGGTTTCCTCCGCTTCCACCACATTCTCTTCGTAGGTAATATCACTATACGTATGCGTAGCGCATACGCAATAGAAAGGATAGACGATCGTACGCAGTGAGAGAGAAAAGGGAGAATAGACAAAGAAGATTATTCATCATTAAGTGCTGCTAAATACGATAGACATGGAAGAATTATGATAAGAGCAAATACTATAGTCTTTGGACAAAAAGCTACAATAAAATTCTATGTCTATATCGAATTTATCTTTCAGATAAAAATTACTTGAATTATACAGAAGACATTTATAATTATATTATTTTTTATAATCATTTCTCTCTATTAGTCTATAGATATTTATACGACACATAAAGAAAAAAAGCATGAGAAAGAGAGATAAAAATATACATATTTTGTGTGTGCACGTATCAGAAGAGAAAAGTTTGCTTACACAACCACACGTATGTAGACACTAAATCAGAAATGAACGCGTAGGAGAACGCACATGAAGATACGATCGAATAAGCCACCATGTATATTCGCAATAACGTTTTCATGGTGGTCCAGGATCTCCTGCGACAGCCAGAAATGTGCAAAGGGTTGCTAAAAGCTATTCACGGGACTAATGGCTAATGGGGTGTTCTTAACGCGGGTGCACACCGCACCCTTTCACCGTTTCTTGGGTCTCGAGAGAAATGCGACTTCAAAGAAAAAATTACCTAATTGTTTAGAGCAAAGAAATCCTCCCATAATTCTGCGTATCTTCACACACGATCATTGGTTCAACCTCAAATCTATATTATTTTAAATTAGGACACAGTAATAATCTAGACATCTTTTAAAAATTACTGACAATTTTTAATTATAAACGTATGACATATATGAAAATAAAAAATTTTAAGTTTCCTTTAAAAAAACACCTGGATTAATCCAGGAAATAACTAAAATCTGTGCAATAAAATTCCGGCGATGAAATGATTTTTAAAAAAATAAGAAAAATCGACTGGGGGTAAAATCATTCGACCATTAAAAGATCAATATGGTGAACAATATTCGCTTAGTAATACATTTTTATTTGCAAAAATGTGGTGAATGTCCTCACGATTGTATTGAAAAATAAATAATAAATTTTGTATTACCACAATTGTTGGTTATTGTAAAAAATAGTAACGTTTTAATTTTTTAATATCATCTATCTCGTTTATTTTCCATTTTTATTCGTAGTATTTTTTTTTTCGTCATTTATTTATTGTGTAAAAATAAATTTTAGATGAATAACGCGGGATGTCAGACTAATCGGACATTTCTCTGACAGTTCCTAGTGCAATACAATCTCTATTAAAATGTGCTCACAGTAACGAATTATTTTAAAAAATATAATTGGCTTTTAAGCAAAATAATTTTATATAAATTATATAATTATATAATCTTATTTATTTAAATTGCGTGTGTGTATATAGTGTGTATATATATACATATATATACACACACACACTGTGTGTGTGTGTGTGTGTGTGTGTGTGTGTGTGAATACATATATGTATGTACAATATAATTATAATATATTATTAGAAAAAAACTATAGTCGATTTATTGAAAATTATAATAATTACAATAAAATATATTTTATTGTATTTTGTTTGTAGAATATAATTGATCTACAAAATATATAACTTGTAGTGTCTTTTAATTTTTGAACTACCGCGCGTCTCCTGATATTTTATTTAAATATAAATTTTCATGATTAGAAAATACTAATTACTACTTGAGTTTATATAAAATTAATATAATATTATTACATCATGTAATATCAAATATATTTTCTGTCTACCTGTGGTAAAGGTAAAGCTTTTATATTTTTCTGTAAAATATGACAATGTTCGAAAAGTTTACGGCAAAGGGGTGAGAAGATGAGTTGATGGAACTTACCGAGTTGTGATTGATGTGTTGGTGCCGGAGCCGGTCTGACTTTGTCCGGAGGGCATCTCCTGGTAGCGGCAACAGTCGCGGGCTGGGGTATGCTCGTGCCACCCCCAGGACCACCACCAGCACCACCAACTCCCGACGATTGTTTGTTATAGGGCGACGGCAATCTGAAATGAAAAAGGATTCTGTTGTCAGCTTGATGTTTTATAGATTTTCAATTTACAATATATATCTTCGTGGAATGTACATATATGAAGGAAATGTATAAGTAAATTTTATAATTATTAAAACATTTTTCTTAAAAAATTATTATAAAAAATTATCTTGTAAAATATAATGTAAGTAATAATGTGATAAAATATTAGATTCATAATAAGTGATTTAAATCACGCAATGATTTTTATTGCATTGTATAATTATTTTTATATTATTGTATATATTTATATATTATGTATATTTATATAGTTATTTTTATTGAACTGTATAATTATATTTCTATATTATGTTTACTCCATTTAATTTTGTTCTTTATAATTTCCTATTTGTTTAAACAAATTATATTTATACAATTTCCTTATTTGTATATTTCATATTTTATTATAAATACATAAATTTAAATAAGAAAAAATTATTATAAAACAAACTACATATGATAAAAATTCTAATTAATAATAATATAAAATAAATTTAATAATAACATAATAAATCAATAATAACATAAATTATCTGTCTTAAATCATTATTTAATTAATCCTGTCAACTAATTCAGTCTGGCAAACGCCTAAATCAGCAATTAAATACGTACATAGTTGAATTCCTTTCAACTAGCAAGTTTTTGATGTATGCAGATACATATACATATGTATAGGAACGCGGTGTATAGGATCTATTTTATAATCATATACACACTCTTGAGCTCAAATTACCAAGTACCGTCCATAAACCTCGTGAATATAACAGGCTTGACAGAGAAACGGCCTTTGACTCGTATTCGCGCTGCATGTTTAACACTAAACTCGGCTATCCGATATCTACATCCTGAGTAAATCATCGCTTTGTCCTAAATTTATCCGCTATTTTACTATAATGAGAATAATTGCAGTTGCCAATCGACTCAAGTGCTAACGAAACGAAGAACACAGCTGCGAGAGTCACTAGATTCAAGACTATGAAAAAGATGAAAAAAGGATAACGAATTATCCTTTCACTCACAAATCATATCTTAATCTCTCTCTCTCTCTCTCTCTCTCTCTCTCTCTCTCCTCCCCCTTCGACGTATTTTCAATAGAATAAAAAAAAGATTAATCACAGATTAAACGAAAGGTTTACAGTGTTAAGCAATAAACAATTAATACAAATGTTTATATTTATAATCTACTTTCAAAAACAAAATATTTTATATTTTTTTACACACCAAAAGTATATCATTGAATTGGAATTGTTTATAGGACACTTGCGCGTAAAGCAAGCGATCTGGGTTCGACTCGCGGCCGAGGTAATATTTTTCGCAATATATTTGAATTATTTATATCATTTATAGACTTTAATAATATTTATGTCATTCAACGTATTATTAAGATCCAAGATGCAATGAGCATCAAAAAATTGTTAATTTAACTCGTGATAATACTGCGGTAGTTCATTGCGTTGTAAGTCTGACAAAATTTCAGCGCGCATTTAGGGATCTACATATATAGTATATACACAAAAATTATAATAGAAGCATTCAATATCCAGCTTGACCGTAAATAGCTTATTCTCATCGGTATTTTAATTGGAATTGTCTGATTAATTAAATCGTGTTAGAATTTAACATGGCTAAACATATTGCTTGTTAATTCTATCAAACTTTAAACATTTTTAATAAAACGAAATTAATATATACGGAAAGCTGCATTAATAACATGATCTTTCAGAATATCAGTCAGTTCACGAATTGGTTTCTCGATTTACATACGTATAATAACGGTGGGTCTCGCATCCATTTGCATCGCACGCAGCTGGTGCAGTGCAACTCGTGAGACACACCTTTCTCGTTATATTCTTTGTTTTGATTTGCAAGAGATGTAATTCTCGTGCCTGTTGTGCAGAGACACGATACAATAATGCCCGAGGAGGGCACAATGCAAGCACAATATATATGTGGCAGATTAAATTATATATACACGAAGCATTTTATGAATTTCCATTCTGTTTGTGTGCACATGATGAGTACACAATAAGTCGCAAAATTTGCGTCAAATCCTCGCGTGAATTGTGCAACTTTTTAATTAAAAAATTACTTTTTTGTTTTTTTATGATTACGAATAAACAGCTAAATTAATTGATAAATTCTAAAAAGATCATTTTGATCAATTTAACATTATTAAGATCGATATAAGATGTGTAAACACAGCATCAATAATTGTTAAATTGTTAGTCAATGTAACTTGTGATATTACTGCAGTAGTTTATTAGTATTGCGTTTCAAGTCTGAAAAAATTTCGGCGCGCAGTCGAAGAATTACATACGTAGTATATAAATTCACACGCAATTATTTAGAAGCATCCATGATCCAGCTTAGACCGCTGTGGCATTATCTCATTCGGTTTGATCAATTGTAAAAAATTGTACAAAAATTGTATATAGAAATTCGAGAAATCACATCACTCTCTTTTGCCAAGAAAAGATTTTATATTATATTTTAGTTTATTTTAGTTTTATATGATAATATAATGTATTAAATTGGCATTTGAAAAACACATATCACAATCCGATATGTTTTATGTAATAACATAAAATGTTTTTCAGTAAATCTTTATAAAAAAATTTTATATTTTTTGCGTGTGAAAAAATGCAGACCTGTCACAGATGCGTTTTAGGACGTCCTATTCCGATTTTCATCTATATATTGAAACAGAATCCGATTATATATAAAAAGAAATTCTAGAGTAAGATGTTCCTATTGTTAAAACCAAAAAAATAATATAAATTTTAACAAAACTTTTGGAACACAAAAACAAGAGAAAGGCAAAAATAAAGAATCTTATAATTATGATGCTAAAGTTGGATTAACATTTTCATAAAACACAAAATTTAAAGATTTTTGAACTTCTTGGAGAATACAGTATGTCCTTCAATAAATAATTTTCTTTCTCTTTTATTTAGCTCTTTCATAACATCAGCCTAGCAAGATATACATAATTGAATTAAAATGTCAAATTCTTCTTTTTTTATTCTTATAACTTATATAACTATTTGAATAGTTTTATAAGAATAAACCCGCATCGTTCCCTCGTGAATATGTCTAGGATATCCTGAGAATCAATATATAAAAAATGAATCCCCAGTAGGGACGCGCGTCGGCAATGTCAAATCCAGAAAGAAAAAAGTATTTCAATCCGCGACGGGAGATGGTCGGCGGCGAGTCGCGAATATTTACGAGAGCAATATCGGAAATTAATGCTATGGTCGGCGCGTACCCGACACCGGGCGCCATGGCGCGTGTTCCAACTGCCACCACCGCTATGACGCGACGAGACGTCTTACCCTTGGAGATGTATTAATATCAATGCAAGATGGATCTTATAGTTTGTCGATCTAATACATATGTTATTAAAATTCGACACATGTTATTAAAATTTTTAATTAGTTATGACATATGCACCGATCTTCAAGAATCTTCGAACGCTAAAAAATTAATTTCTTATTTTAGTTGCAATTATATTGTTCTCGAATAGATCACTAAACGAGTATTAAAATTAAATCATATTATTAATAAAATAAAACTGTTAATATGGAGGTAGAAATATAAATACAATTTAATACTATTATTTCTATAAAATATTGTATTATATTAGTGTATATGATATTATAGTATATACATTTATATAAATATATTAATTTTATTTAATTTAATTTATCGTATGCAATACGTAGATTTACATAAAAAGTTACATGAGAATATGTAAATGATGAGGCGTCAGCATGACTATTGTTATAATGCCTAAGCAGATGACAATGTCAAAAAATATGATTAAAAAAGAATAACAATAAATTATGTGTATATTATTTTATTAAATAATAATTAATATCTTATAAAATAAAACAATATCTTTTCAAAATGTGTGTGTGTGTGTGTCGCTTTTAATTTTTGAAAATTATTTTTTAAATTTCTATTTTTGTTTTTTGTTAAAAATAATTTCATAAATCGCAGGTTTCTGTTTATATTTTATTTATATTTTCTCTAATCATTATCGTCTAACTGCAAATATATTCTGTTTTGCAGTTACGTTACGTTATTTATGACAACATCTCAGATTACATTCATTTCTGCCGTGCAGCTACATGTTTCGCAAGAACCGTTATTAGCGCGACGTTCGATTAACCGCGTTCGATAATCGCTCGATAAGAGTCAATTATTTGTTCAAATAAAATGTATATAATCAATTTTTGTACACATATCAATATAATTGCGCATGTGCAACATTCTTGATGTAATCTAATAATGTGATTACAATTATGAGTAACAATTAAAGCGGCACAAGCTCATCACTATTCGTTCACTATTTTGACATCGTCATGCTCGTCATTTAGTTAATTAACTCTATTTTCTGTAAATAACGAATCAATGTTTGCGAAAAATTATTATAAAAACAATTACATAAAAATTCTATTTTTTGTTTGTTGGCGTTCGTAGTTTTTCCCTGCAAATAATAATTTAAAATTTCTAAAAATTTTAATAATGCCTTTTAATTAAACTTATGTTAAATTGATAAAAATTATATTACAAGTATAAAATTAATTATTTTGTTTACATTTGCTGATTTTCTCGGCTGATAGAGATGTACAAAACTTTATAGAAATAGCTAAGATAATCGAATAATCGCTTAGACAGACGACGTAAACGCGCCATATGCGCAATTCAATTGCAAAATGTACAAGGAAGGGAGTCACTAGCTCCCTTCGACGCTCGCGGGCAACAAGAGCGCGTGATTAGGCTGGTCGACCAGCAACGACAAGATGCATATCGGTTATAGGGACGACATTCCTTTTAATTGCTGACTGCCAGGATCGGACCGGCTAGTACGATTTTTCAAACGGTCACTAATTAAAGATCCCGTCGCTTGATATAGAGAGAATGTTTTCTCATTCGCCACGAGATATCGACATTTCGTGAACTAAAGAG